AGCTAAACCACCTATATAACCATGTATACACGTTTAAAAGCAATAAATGCTTATTAAAGCAGTAAGCACAATGAAAGCTTATTAAAGAGGAACATCTATTTTGAAAACAGGCAGAGAAATATTAATACAGTACAAAACTAACTGCTTTATGTATGCAAGGAACCAAAATAATTCATACCAACCGTTCATGCTTTATTATGTATTAAAACCCCCAATGAATTATCAATCAATAAAAATAACCACCAATGCATACTCAATCGAGGCAAAACAAATACCAATGTATCACTGACTAAACTTAAGCATGATAACATTTTATAGTGAAAATGAATTATATTAAATATTAGCTTAAAAACGTTAGAATTATGAACCGGCTTTAAGCTAATATAGTGAGGAATTACCGAATAAACCAATCATAAATTTTCATAAACGTTAGATTTATGAATAGACTTTATGTATCTAACGCATGTTTATATTCGACTCGTGAACCATGTTATCACATCGAATGACAACAAATCTTTAGTTAGCACACTAAATCACTCAAAAGTGTGTTTAACTATTACCTCAATATTATTAAAAGAAACAATTCGAGTTTTCTACCAACGATTTTTCTGTAGATTATAGAATTTGTCTTTCTTCACAACACAAACAATGATAGTCATAGTCGTAATAATGTTTGGCAACAGTATGAATTTGCTTCTAAATTATCGAAAAATAGATTGTTGCAACACGAGGCATTAGCACTGACTGGAAAAATATAAAATGAAATATATAAGCAATGAACCGATCAACCATGTCGTGTATTAACCACTACTTCAGAAGTGAATTCCTTCCGACGTACGTAATCGCTAAAATGGGCGAATGGCCCTTCGAATTTAGTGCAGCTCTCCAAATTTTTTACACTCGAAAGATGGAATGAACTCTAGTGGTACTTCTATTCTCTCAACTCAAAACAATACTCATAAAAGGTTTTTAAAAACCAAAGAGAGTGCTTCTAAAGCAAAAATATTTCTTAGGATATTAGATAAATTTCTCTTGTAGTGCCATATGAAATGAAAAATAAACATCTATTTATAGACTCAAAATAAGATCAAAATGCTAAAAAAAACTCAATAGCATTATTGGTTAATTAATTATCATAAATATTATTCTAATGACCATAAATTATATTAAATATTTTTAACTATAAATGGTAAAATATAAACCTTGATAAATATTTTATCAGAAGGATCTTGTCTAAAAAGAAACACACACGAACCGAATTGAACAATGCCAAATAGTTCCTACCCAGTGTGCATTTCTTTGTTTTAGCAATAGATATGATGATGTCTCGACTGATCAAGATGATGCTTACTAATTATCCTGATGATCTTCCCTGCTTTAGACCTTCAAATTGGATTGAAATTCGTGGTTGCGTTCGTGGATAGTTTCACACGTCGCTCAACTCTGGTATGCAGTTTATCAGCGGTCTTTTAGTAAATTTCATCGTCTTTTATGGTTCGTTTGCCGATGCAATCAAATATATTTATATCTAACTTTTTTTGAGTATTTTGGTTGGGTTTTTAACCTTTAATTTATATGATCCTTGTATAGTGGCTAATTTCTTATGTTAATGATTATAGAAAATATCATAATTATGTGTTTAGTTTAATTTACGATTACAATTATAAACATTAATCATAATTTTGGGTGTTTTTATTTTAATAAAATTGACTACTTCTATTAAAAATATTATATGCAATTGTCAAGTTATACACAAATCCGTCACGGAAACAAAATATATGTTGAGTAGGCAAAAACAACATCAACAACAACACAAGGAAAACCTTAATTAATAATAAGGTAAATTACATATTTAGTCAAACAACTAACTTTGGTTTTATTATGATCACTCAATTATTTTTCTCTAAATTATGACTAACATAAGTTTTAGTTCTATTTTGGTTACTCGTTAAAAAAATCAGAATTGTTGAGGTGACATTATCTTATTGTCACACGTTAGCATAATTACTCAGATTTCAACGGTGGGTGACCTAAATGAAATCAAAATGAAATGTTAGAGGCGCCTTTAGAAAGGATAATATCTCCAATTATGTGAAAGAAGAAACTAATAGCGTTGCTGATGCCTTAGCACACCTTGGCCATCAAAGGAATTGGGACTCACGATCTTCCCTCCAAAGACATTGCCTTCAGTCATATAGATTAATCTTTGTAACCAAATATATATATATATATATATATGTATATATGTGAACTTAGTTTTCGGATGCAATTCTAGTATTTAATATTCTTTTATCTAGTTGGATATATAAATTTGTTTCGTTGGTTTAAATTGTAATTTAAACTTCACATTTTAATAAATAACTTATTTGAATCAATCTCATCGTGAAACTAAACCTAGATAAAATTTTAGGTACCAGATTAAATATGAAATTCATATTCAAATATATAACTAAAATAAAATACTAAGAATTAAATTACATCTTAAAATAATATTCAAATACAAAAAATATATTTATCCTGATTGAGGTCATATATTTTAATTTAGATGATTGTTGTCGGTCTTAGAAGAAAATATATCGTGCTAAATATAGAATTGATATTACATAACGAAGACTCTAGTTAGATTTGTGAAGAAAAAAAATCATTATCAAGAATAAAAATCTTTTCGAAATTCTTTTCCACACGTTTAATTTATATCCTAAAATCTTGATTATATTTTTTTAAGAGAGAATAAAACTAAAAAACAAAGAAAATTCTCACAATAAAAAATATACTTGCACAATTCAACTCACACGTCCTAAAACACTAGAATGACATATTATAACAAAGAACAATGCTAGTCTTCAATAAGAAAGATGGAAAAAATTAAGTACAAATAAATATTTTTGCTCAAATATGTTGGTTGTAACTTTCTTTTATGTTCCTTAGTTGTTACAAGATCTATTTTATACAGTTGAATTCATTTGTATTTGTTTGGAGTTGTTGAAGGGAGTTAGGAATTAAAATATGATTATTGGAACTCTTTTATATACTCAATTCGATCGTTAGTGTACTTTCACCTAGTTTGGGATATTCTTTTCCTCTAGTTAGGTTTAGGGAGGTTTTTAATGAACACCCAACTTAGGTTCCATTTTTAATAAAATTCTTTTTGCTGAGAAAAAAAATCGATCATTTATAAAATTAAAGTATAAACATTAGGGTAAGTACACTAATGATCTCCCGACTATATGATATTGATTTGTTGAGCCCGCGACTATTAAAAGTTATAAAATGATCATCGACTATAAGGTACTGTTTTTTTTAGTTCCTTGACTATTAAAATTTACAAAATGGTCACCCGACTATTCATATGTTCCAGATTCATTCTTTTTTGTTAAAAATTGACGGCCATCTTAGCTGAAAGTTAACATGCTAACTGATATATGATAAAATATGATCCTAAGATCTCAAATGACTATACATACAAACGGTTCTGGGATTAAATTTTATCATATCTCAATTAGCAAGTTAATGTCTAATTCATATGACCGTCAAAATTTTTAACGAAAAAGGACGAGTTTGAAATATATGAATAGTCAGATGACCATTTTGTAACTTTCAATAGTCAAAGGACTCAACAAAGTAATACCCCATAGTCGGACGATCACTTTATAACTTTCGGTGACTCAACAAAGCAATGTCGTACAATCGGAGACTATTTATATACTTTACCCTAAACATTATATCTTCAAATAAGTCAAATTGATTATATATATTATTTTAGTTACAATCATAACAAGATGTTAAGTTAGTTCATTGATTAGGTGCTAGGCTTTTCTTTTCAAGCTCTAAAGTTCGAAATCCCCTCCAAATTTAATATTTTTTTTTCTAAATTTCCCTACGATAGAACGTCGTGTGGAGTTGCTGAATTATGAGCTATTCATGACATCCTAATAAATGGTTGGAAATTAGGATTCGACGTGTAAAATTGGAAACGGATAATTTGGAAGTTACAGAAATTTGGAATCATAATTCCAATGTTTTATTGGGGAATGTTTTGGCGGATGCTATCCATGAGCTTCGAGAGTCGAGACCGCAATTGAGTTGCGAAGATTCGACATGTTTGCTGATAACAAAATATTATTGCAGATTTTGAGTTATTCGAGTTGACGAGTCCTATTTTACAATCGTAGTTGATTTGAAATTTTTTCGAGTCGATTTTTCGAGTTTAAATTCAAATTTAACTGTGAATATTTATAATATTATAATATTATTTGGTTCTAATTTAAGTAACTTTCTATAACCATATATACAATACATATACATTTCTTCTTCTTCTTCTTCTTCTTCTTCTTTTTCTTTTCTTCATATGTGATATATACATAAATCATACAAAGTCCAATGACTCGACTCAAACTTGAAAATAAATCCACTAATTACTAACAATTTCGAGTTATTCTAATTGTATTTTACAACTTGATTTGAACTTGAATTTTTTTCATAGTCGAGTCCAGTTTATGAAATTATAACTCGAAGTCAATTCGAGTCGAGTTTTACAAGGGCCTCTATCTAGTTAGTTTGCTTTTAATCTCAACCGTATTAGTAGGAAAAAAAAGAATTAACGATAAAATAATATCAATTAAATATAAATGTGAAATTTAATACTATAATTACAATAATTAAAAAATTTGTAGTACAGATAATATATTATTTAAAATTTATTGACATCAGATATAATTTTTCCCTTACATATATCTTATATAATACCACAGAAAATATCTCTTCATGGCTTAATGAATCATATTGCATGGTTATGATTGGAAAATTAATGATTTAAACTCTCCACAAAATGTTGAACATCAAAGTTTTATAATTTAGCCTGATGTCCTAACACAAACTTCCTGATTTGGCCTTTGGGCATTGCAAGGGCAAGGCAATATTCGTTAAAAGCACCATATCCAAGGCAGCATTAAAATAACCCTTTAAATTACCAAACAGCACTCTTACAATACAAGCCAACATGTAAACACCCCATTCATTCATTTCAGTCGTCTAAAGCAGAAAGATCGTAAACTAAGAAAAGCCCCATTCATTTCAATTGTCGTAAGTTTTGCACTCATCAGTCTCGGGGTTGTCTTTGCAGTAATTCTCCAGAGGATCGTTGTCTTTCATCCTGTCCCTGGCGTGGCTGGCTGCTGCACTCAGCTCTTCCACCTCGTCCCAAGCCGCCACGCACTCTCCGCTCGCCGGATCATCGGAGCACGCCTCTTGCGCTTCCTTGATGCTCTTCTCCACCTTCTCCGATATGCTATCAGGGGTAGCTCTCACAGGTATAATCGCCTACAGTCAGATGCGAACACAGAATTTTACATTACAGACAAGACGAGAAGAGCTTATAAAATTTCAGAGTAGAACAAGTTTATAAAATTTTAGGAGACGCGACCATACTATCAATAGAAAATGCTCGTAAAAAACCTAAGATATAAAAGAACTTGAAAATCTTAGGGGCGACTGTTCCCGTTCTCCCTCTTGGTTCATCCCTACCTGCATCCGCCTATATCCCAAAGGGGTTATTCTTTTCCATGACTGGTTCTTCTGGTTAAGGTATGCAGCCTTGGTGGAATCCGGAAGGCTGGCTGCGATCCTTGGGGTTAGGAGGTTAAAACTAAACAGAGTTGCCATTGTTGTTTTGGTTTTCTCTGTTAAGAGCGGAAAGGGTGAGCAAATTTTTTCCCGGAAAGCAAACGATAATTGGGAAGGCTTTAATTGGGAACTTAATGGTCCATAGATTTCTTATCACCTTGGAACCAATAAAATATTTCCACGTTCCATGTATATGTTGAGATATTTAATGGAATATTAAATTTTGACATTAATCTTAAATTATTTATAGAGTTAATTTCATTACATGTCCTTAAAGTATGATCCTAGTTTTAAATTGATCCTTAAACTTTTAAATGTTCTACTTTCATCCCCAAAATATGACTATCATTCTAAATTAATTCTCAATCTTTTGAATATTTCAATTTTATCACAAAACTATGATATTTATTCTAAATCAGTCCCTAAACATTTTGAATATTTCAATTTAATCTCAAACTATACATATATATTATTCACAACCCTTGTTAATAAAATCCTTATGACAAGTTATATTATTATATGTTTGAAAAAAAAGTAAAAAAAAAATTTAGGTTATACTATAATTGAAACTAATTATATATTTGGATGAGTTTGATGATGAAGGAGTATTCAAAAGTTTGAGGATCAATGTAGAGAGAGGGTCATAGTTTAGGGATGAAATTAGAATATTCAAAAGTTTAAACATTAGCTTAGAATGAGAGTAATAATTTAGAGATGTAATTGGAATATTTAAAAGTTTAAAGATTAATTTAAAAAACTTATTGTTTAGGAATACTCTATTAAACTATTTTGAAAATAAAAGCATTATCCGTAAATAAATCAAACTTGAATGAATGTTTTAAGTGAATGAATTTTTGTTTGTCTTCAGTAAAGTTTTTAAAAGTAATTGTATTTATTTATTTTAATTATAAAGATACATTCAATATGTATAAAAATAATTAAAAATCATTCATCAACTATAAATAAACAACAAATAAAAATAAATATACTAAATATTATTTATAAAAATAACATATGCTAATAGTTATAATATTTTTAGAGTAAACAATGTTTTTAGTCACTCAATTTAGTATGTGCTTTTATTTTGGTGACTCAAATTTAAAAGTTTTCAGTCTTATCATTAAACTTTCGAATTTTATTTGTTTTGACCCTTTAACCATTAAATTTATAACATCAGCACAAGAATATTGCATTTTGGGACTTTTTGTATGAAATTTCTAAAATTGTAACTTTCTTCTTTTCCATAGTAAATTTTTTTTGGAAAATTCTACAACGCTCGATGAACATCGATGAACACCATTAGCGATGAGCACTATTAATTTAATTTATAAAAAAAATAAAATTGTAAAGGGCTTAACGAATAACTATAAATTAGTTGAAAATTTAACAATAAATTATTTAAAATAAAGGGTAACAATATCAGTGACCACCTAACTATTGTCTATTTTCATTTTGATCGTTATTTTTGAAATTTTATCAATCAAGTCACTCAACTTTTTAAATGCATTCAGTTAAGCCACTAGTCGTTAATATTTAATGGAGAAGCTGATGTGGCAATTAAAATATTTGATATAATTACACATTTGGTCACCGTTACTTATGTATTCTATCAATTTATAAATTAAAATAAACTTAACCCTCAAATCAAATGGTGCCATGTGTGACTGGTGCCAAATGTAATGACATGTATCACCATCCTAAACTAAATTCATAATTCAAAATCAACCGATTAAAATTATGAAAAATTCGAATCAATGATTAGTTGTAAAATTAACACACGAACACCAAGGTTAATATGCACAAAAGGTAATTGAAGATTTTGCTAAGTGAAATATATATGAGGGCAATCGTTGAATTATTTTATGCTAAGGCCAACTCTAATCTACGAACAGCAAGGGCAAAAAGGGAATAAAAATGCAATTGGAGATTTGCTATTAGAGCACACAACAGAATATACTAAGATACAACATGTAATTCAATATCATGGCACAATCGATTGATAAACAAAAATTGTAATATGATTAGAAATCAATATTGTAACAACCATGATTAATAATCGTTTATTGAACCTTAAATTGTATACGAATTTTAATTACCATATTTGCTTATCCCATTAAATATTAACGACAAGTGGCTTAATTGAATGCATTTAAATAGTTGAGTGACTTAATTAGTAAAATTTCAAAAAATGGTGGTCAAAATAAAAAGGGACAATAATTAGGTGATCACTGATATAGTTTACCCTATATTTTAAATAATTTAGCTTTAAATTTTCAATCAATTTATAATGATATGTTAAATCCTTTAAAATTTTAAAATTTTATAAATAAAATTAATGATGCTCATCATTAATGGTACTCATCGGTGCTTGTCGAGTGTGGTTGGCTCATCTAAAAAAATCCATAATTGTTTGACCACTACTAACCCCGATGTTATTGTTACCAAAATATTTCTTTTTTGTTTTCTTTCAAAATTGACAAAAATCAGATCAAATCTTTAATATTATTTTGGTCCAATCTATAATAACACCCCACATCAACATGAAATAATATATATATATATATATATATACTCACCTTTCGAATTTCTTTTGAATATGAAAGAAAAATACTTAGTACTAAATATGATAGGCAAAATGGCCCAAATAATGCAAAATAGAATATTTAATTCCCAAAATAATTCACTTCCCAGATTATTTCTTCATCTAGGGTAAAATCTATAATACCGAGCCAAAGACTCCAAGCTTACCTGGCGTCTTCAAGCCAACCAAGAAACTCTAAGCTTACCTGGCATCTCCAGGCAAAATAGGAAGACTCCAAACTTACCTGGCATCTTCAGTTTAGGGTGGTAGGTTGCATCCGACTAGAAACAAGTAAGTAATAATGACACCATTAATTATCCATTAATAACCTGGGTAGGTTGGTGGTTGATGGTTAAACGGGAAAGTATAATAAATATTATGGGATGTTATAAAATGGGATGTTTTGGTTGAGAATTAGGGAGTAAAGCAGTGGTGAGGAAAGGGGAGAAGAGAAAATTTGGAGAAGAATTGAAAGAGTGAGCATCTAGGAAGAATATTAGAGAAAATTTTGAACGAAATTTTCTTCTGATCTTTAATCTTTAAGTATTATTCGAATAAAATTTTATTCATATTTGAATAAAATATCTCTATTTTATCTCGTATTATTTAATATTAAAATATTAATTTTAATATATTTTTTTAGGTAAAAAAAAGAAGTGAGTAAGAAAATCGAAAATGCTTTTTTATAACATCTACTTGTCGGAAGAAACTCTCAAACAAGTGTAAAAATATTTTATTTAAAGTATTTTATGATTTATTGTTACTTACATATTGACTTAGTAAATATCAATTTATGATTTATTGTTATGTAAATATCATTATTATAATTTTAACATTATTGATTTAGTATTTGTAGTAGAAATGTAAAGATAATTAGATGAACATTGTTGAGTTAATCGATCAACGAATCAACCAAGAGGGGGTGAATTGGTAATAAAAATTTTGGTGGAAGCTTTTGCAGAAAATTGAAAATATTTGCAAAGCGATTTAGAGTGGTTCGACTTTCTCAACCAAAGTCTTTGTCCACTACCTTAGCTATCCACACTAAGGATTTTCCAACAAATTCACTAATTTGTTTTTTCTTTTGAGGACAAAGAGTAATCTTACAACTCCCTCAAGAATTATACCCCAAATTCTTGAAAACACTCTCTCCCAAAGAGAAGATTACAAATTTCGCAAACTTATAGAAAAACCTCACAAGGCAATATGTTTGCACAATTCTAGAACAAAGAAAGAACACTAAAAAATAATACAATTGAGTACAAAGGGTGTTCTTGAAAGCAAAATGAATATTGAATAAAAATAGGCTTGAATTTGCTCAAACTTGATGTTTAAGGATTTCTCTTTGTTTCTCTCTTAATTCTTTTTGATCAATGGCTTCTCAGCTTGTTTAAAAATACCTTGGATCAGTTCTGAACGTTGGGGATCATTGGTGAAGTCAATAGAGCCGCCGTGGTGTGAATACCATTTAAAAATTCAGTTGGGAGCGTGTGTGTATCGGTACACTCTTAAGGTATATAGGTACACTCAGTGTAAAATTCAAATATTTCGACCGTTGGTTGACCTAGTGTATCGGTACACTTGGGGTGTATCGGTACACTAATTGAATTCGATGTTTTAATAAAGCCAGAGTTTATCGATGCATAAGATGTGTATCGGTACACAAAATGCATTCGATGTTTTAATAAAATAGGGGTGTATCGATGCATGGTTGTGCATAGGTATATAAATTGGCTTCGATGTTGGGTGTGCATCGATACATCCAAGAGTGTATCGGTACATCCCTTTGTAAAGTTGATTTTTGGCTCGATTATGGTTCAAAATACTTTGTAAAATTTTTTTCAAAAATATTTTAAGTTTCAAACACAATTTTACACTTTAATTAGAATTGAAATTGACCTTTGAAAAACTTGGAGTAATATTTTGATATTCGAATAATTTAATCGAATATACTTTAAAAATTGTTATAAAATCTTAAAATTCAATAACACTTTAATTTGTTATATCGAAACATCAAAATGTTTTCAACAATCTCCCCCTTTTTGATATAACAAAACATTTAAGTAATTTTAAGATTTTATTTGAAAAATCATTTTTGAAATCAATTTTGGAAAATTACTCCCCCTTTTTGTTAAATCAAAAAGACTCTAAAACGTTTTTAAACAAGATTTATTTTCCCATTTATAGAAATAGCCAATTGATTTAAAATTGAAAGCTTAAGCTGCTAAGATTAAGAGAAAAGTTAGCCAATAGTTTCATAAATCAATATTCATAAACAATATGCAATGGTAATTGGTCATATATCAACTAATATGTAAATGATGCAAAAATTAATAAAAACGTCAAACTCAAATTAAAAATTCAGCCAAACCAAATATAAGCATTCAAATTCAAACATCCAAACATCCAAAATAAAACAATCCAAAAACATCCAAAATGTTTAACAATAAGTTCTAAGTTCAATCCAAGAAAACAAAGCAAGAAAACGGTCTAATCGTCCATCGGTGGTGCAGGAGGTGT